TTCCTTCCTTCCTTTCTTTCTTTCTTTCTTTCTTTCTTTCTTTCTTTCTTTCTTTCTTTCTTTCTTTCTTTCTTTCTTTCTTTCTTTCTTTCTTTCTTTCATTGTGGGGCTTGAGCTCAGCCTGGGCACTGCTCCTCGGCTAGTACTCTACCACTTGAGCCACAGTGCCACTTCCAGTTTTCTGGTGGTTAATTGGAGATGAGTCTCATGGACTTTCCTGCCCGGGCTGGCTTTGAACCGCGATCCTCAGATCTCAGCCTCCTGAGTAGCTAGGTTTACAGGTGTGAGCCACCGGCACCAAGCAATTTCTCCCATTTCTATATGTTAGTGTCAATAGAATGGGCTCTGGGAAGTGAAAGTCACATATTTTTGCCACCTGACTTTGTTGTGGTTGATTTTATGCTCATCTGTAGTTCAGGAACTTCTTATCTGGTTTCTGGACTTCTTAGGGCCAAATAGAAGCTGGGTTTTCCTCTTGTGTCGTCCCAGGGTGTTACTCCCCTCACCATATTTCTTTTGTGGGTACTGACGACTGGTGCTCACCTGCTTCCCCTGTTGGGTTGAGTGTGACTGTGTGGAAGCCATTTCCTTTTTACATTTCTATGAGTGTTCCATAATTTTTTGAATAAATGCTTAGAAAATAAGTACATGTGTCACTTAAAACTACATCAGTGATTCTTCTTCTTCTTTTTTTTTTGGGGGGGTCGGTCGTGGGGCTTGAACTCTGGGCCTGGGCGCTGTCCCTCAGCTCTTCAGCTCAAGGCAAGCACTCTACCACTTGAGCCACAGCGCCACTTCAGTGATTCTTCTTGATCTTCTTGATTCTTCCCTGTCTTTCACACTGTGCTTACATTTTCTCTGCAGTTATGAGTCAGAGGGTGTTTGGTCTGTAGTGATAGCAAAGCATTCTATTCTGTCCTCACATAGTGATATCCTGGCTTAGTCACAAGATTCTACTTAAACTTTGTTTTTAATTTCTCAATTATTCTTTTTTGTTGTTGTTGTTGGTCATGGCGTTTGAACTCTGGGCCTGGGCGCTGTCCCTCAGCTCTTCAGCTCAAGGCTAGTGCTCTACCACTTGAGCCACAGCGCCATTTCTGGCTTTTTCTGCTTATGTGGTACTGAGGAATTGAACCCAGGGCCTCATGCATGCAAGGCAAGCGCTCTACCACTGAGCCACCTTCCCAGCCCTTCTCAATTATTTTATAAATACAGTTCTCTTTTCCTTTCTCCTAGATCCCAGTCCTGAGATGTACGTGGTTTACACCTTGGTGTGTGTCCTCCCTAGGTCAACAAATATAGATACATTATACTTATCTGGCTTGGGTTGCAATGTGTTTTCTTTTTCCTTTTTAAAATCTTTTAATATTTTAATTTTGCTAAGACCTTTATACATTTCTCATGCCTGTGCCTTTTTTTTTTTTTTAAATCTCAGCAAGTCTGGAAAAGTTTGAAATCCCACTAAAAATTCGTTTGAGTCCTGAGCCGTGGACCCCCGAAACTGGCCTGGTGACAGATGCTTTCAAGTTGAAGCGCAAAGAGCTCAAAACACACTACCAGGCGGACATTGAGCGGATGTATGGAAGGAAGTGATCATTCCCTCGGGCATCCGTTGCTCCCCTGAGCTCAGATCAAATAGGAAAATACTTGAAATGCATGTCTCGACCCTGAGGCGGACTCCATCCCTCGTCCTACACCGAGGTTGTTACTTCTCATGCCACCATTTCTCACTGACAGGATTAGTAAAGTATTAAGACAGCAAATTTGTGTCTGTCTCCTCTTTGCTCTCTTCCAGCTTCACCTTTCCACCACGACTGGACTTGTCAGCAGGAGAATTTCTCTCAGTCACATTGGGAAGCAGTGATTTTAAAACCTCAAGTTTTTAAACATGATTTATATGTTCTGTATAGTGTTCAGTTTGTAACTTTTTAAAGTTTGGATGTATAGAGGGATAAATAGGAAAATATAAGAATTGGTTATTTGGGGGCTTTTTTACTTATTGTATTTAAAAATACAAGAGTATTGATGTGAAATTATGTAAATTTCAAATGCTTATGAATCAAATCATTGTTGAACAAAAGATTTGTTGCTGTGTAATTATTGTCTTGTATGCATTTGAGAGAAATAAATATACCTATACTTATGTTTTAAGAAATGGAGGACTTGTTACTATATGTCTGCCAGCGTCTTGGTTGAAACAAAGCCACAGGAGAGGGTTGGGCTTTATTGTAAGGGAGAAAGCCAGCACAGCGGATGTAGTAGCCAGCAGGAGATGTAGTCTGCAGCCGACTGCCAGAATGTTCAGTGTTTTCTCCTTAGCTGGTGGAACTAGTAGAAGATCCAAAGTTAACGGGAATTTTAAAGTCACTGAATAGGAAGTTATTAAATGGCCAAATGTACATTTGGTTGGACAACTAAATGTATTTATGAGCACAAGAGCTCATTACAACCTCTCTCCTCTTCCCCCCCCCCCCCCCAGCAATGTGCCCACTTGACTCTTAGGCAGACTAACTGCCTCCCAACCCATCTGTGCCCCTCCCCCGACCCCGCCCCTTTGAGTACTTCTTAGAGGATCTCTGGGCTCTGGCCCATATTCTGCCCCACAAGATATCTTGCTCAGCCTTGATGCTGACGCCATCACCATCCTCACATACACATAGCATCTCTCTTGGTTGCAAGAACATTGGTCCTGAGAACATTGGTGTAAGTCCTCTGAGAATTACAACAAACCCAACAAGTGTCACAAATACATCAAAAGTAACTACCAGATTCAAGGTACCAGTGGCTCACACCAGTAATGCTAGCTGCTCAGGAGGATGTAGTTCTGAAGGATGTAATTCAAAGCCAACCCAGACAAGTCCATGAGACTCATCTCCAATTATGCACCCAAAAAACCAGGAGTGGAGCTGTGGCTCAAGTAGTAGAGTGCTATCCTAAGCAGAAACACTCGGGGACAGCATCCAGGCCCTCAGTTCAAACCCCAGGGCTGGCACACATACTACAAAGCAACTACCAGAACCTCTCCCTCCCCACTTCCCTCCCTCCTTCCTTCCGTTATAAACAATTCACTATTTCATATGTTTTTTGAGTCATCTGAGGAATTGGTTTGTTTCTTCCTTTCTTGGGAATGCACTAATAAGTACACCACCGCCTCAGTTTGCATTTGTCATCAACTACCTTGATGTGAAGAATAACTTCTTTGCTGGCCTTTCTGCATTTGTTTCTACTCTGTTCCCATACTACTGCTGGCTGACCTTGCTAAAATATAACTTTAATGGCTCCTTTAAAATTGCTTATTGTGCTCTATAGTTCACCTATTTAAAGCATAAGCTCCATGCTTTTTCTTGTACTAATAGAGTTGGGAAAATGTCACTACAATCTAATTTTAAGAACATGTACAAAGTACTCAAAGGAAACTGCCCATGATTACTCAGTTCTCATCTCTTTTCCCATACCCATCTCAGACAACTATGAATTTAGTTCCTACCTTTGTGGATTTGTATATTTAGATTGTGGCTATTCATATAAAATATGTTATTCTGTTACTGACTCCTTTTACTTAGGTTCATAGTCCCTCCTTGCTTTAGCTTGTGTTACTACCTCTGGATTTTTTTTTTTTGTCTAGCTCCCTATTCTCATTTTTTAAACTTTAAATATTTTAATGTTATTATAAAGGTGATATAGAGTGGGTCCAGTTATATATCAAGTAAGGAGTACATTTCTTTGTGGACAATATCACTCCTTCCCTCTGTAAACATCTGAAATTATGTTAAGTAGTTGCACAAAGGAGTTCCCATTTAACAAAGCAATTTATTAAAACGCATCTTGATCAATATCCCTTCTAACCTTCTCACCCATCCCTCCCAGCCTGCCCCTTCCCTCACCCTTCATTTTGTACACTATACATTGGATCTTTGACTGTTTTTCCCCCTCTTCTCTGTTCATTTAACCTTTTCCCATTGACTCCACCTCACCCTTTTTCAAGTGCCCATTTGCTGGTGTTTATATTGTTGAACTTTACTTTTGTCTTTCTAAGGAATTACAGTATTTGAGTTCTCCTTTGAGTCTACCATATTTTAGGTAATACATTTGTATACATTTGCATACAACCCGACTATTTACTATTTAAAGTTTATAAACTACATGTAGCTTCTATATATAAAGGAAAACATGTATCCTTTGACTTTGTGGGCCTGATTTACTTCACTTAACACATTTTTCTTCAAGTCTTTCCATTATCTGGATTTTTTATTACAATGAGTTTCCACGTTTGCAATCATTACAATTTTGTTTTTTTTGGGGGGTGGGGTGGGGTGGGCTTTGTCGGTTGTGGGACTGAACTCTGGGCCTGGGCACTATCCCTCAGCTCTTCAGCTCAAGGTTAGCCCTCTACCACTACAGCTACAGCTACAGCCACTTCCGGCTTTTTCTGCTTATGTGGTGCTGAAGAATCGAACCCAGGTGCCTCATGCATGCAAGGCAAGCACTCTACCACTGAGCCACCTTCCCAGCCCATGTCATTACAATTTTCCAATAGCTGTTTTGTTTTAATCTTTGTACTTTACACTTGAGATAACATTTTGTTCTTGTTTTATGTGTATATTTACCATTTAGAACTTCCTTTTTTGTGTGCTGTATAACAATTTATTTCCATATTAGTTGAAGTCATTAAAAATTGTCTCTGTCCTGAAATGATTGGTCATCTTTGTTATCCATTCAAATTGAAGAATGAGACAGTAACAATCTCATCATGCACACAGACAGAATCTATGAAACATGACAGGACTGGATGGGTGGCTGGCTGTTTTAAATGCCAGGATGTGGAGATGGGTCCATTTGATTTGCTTCAAGGAAACTCTGATGATTACATTGGAGGATGAGAATGGTGGAGAAACTTCAGGTTTGTGGGGCAGAGCTGCAGACAGCTATCCCTTGGTTTTGAATACTGAAGCTCTTCAGAGTTGGCAGAGTGAACACATGGGTTGTTACTAAAACACATTTTCTTCCAGGAGACGCCCATCCTTCTGAGCTACTTCATTTTGTTTCCATCCATACCCCAGGCTTTGGCCATTTGCTAAATCTTCCTCAGTAGCAACCTCCATCCCTTAGAAATGTATTATCTTGGACACTGCTGCCCTTTTCATGAATTTATGTGGGAGAGGAGTCAAATGCACACATATCCAACCTTCTGTTTAGAGACGGATTTTCCAGGGTCTACTTATGAGTTGAATGACTGAAATCAGGATAGGTTTCTGTTTGGGTGACTAGATTTTTTTTTAATATGCAGAAGTACAATAAGGAAGGAATCCTGTTTTATTCTTTGTGGGTTTATATGAGATAGCCCGGTATCTTTGGTGTGAGAAGTGCTCCATTTCTCAGCTTACAAGTCTATCCTTACAAACACAATTCACCACAGGAAAAAAAGCTCACACAGCTAGTGAGCCATTTCACTGCGGATTATGGCCTTTTATTGGCAGTCTTGGCTGTCTATAGTTGCAATATCTGGGAAGGATAAGAAAACAGGGCTCTGTGTGGTAAGATTCATATTTGAACCTTCTGTTCTCTTGATTTCCCTTTGGTTTCAGAAAAAAATATGTATCACTTGGGGTTTTTTATTATCCCTTATTTCTGGCTTTGGTTTGTTTATTTGTTTTGGTTTACTAGGGCAAGTGTGTTATTTCCTCTTGGCATTTCCAAGTTTTCTGAGCTAAGTGACATCCTTCCCTTCCTTCCCCACAGCCATGGACACGTGTCTCTGCTCCTCCCCCTGCTCTAGCCCATTTATCCCCCAATGTACTCTGGATATTCTCCCCTTTAAAAGAAAACCAACTTGGTGAGTTCAGTTCATCCAAATAAAAACCACTGAGTGGAGCAGCGTGACATGGTACTTAAGTCCCCTAGGTCACATTTTTTGGCAAATGATTGTGTCCTGAAACTGTCATTCCCAGGATGTGTGGCTTACTCATCATCAAATACATGGCATTTTCTTAGTCTTGGAATGTTCCATCTCCATGAAACCCTGGTGGAGGGGGAGGGAGGGGACAACCCTTTCTATTACCAGTGGGAAAAAGTTTATTATGAACAATTGCATTGAACCATAATAGGATTTACCTAGCCCGCTGGGGCCTCGTGGAATCGATGACTGGTCCAGGATGGAATTCACTCCAGGAAAGCTGGGAGATTCCTTGTTCCACCATATTTTGAAAAACCTCTCTGTCATGGTTTTATACTCCATTAATCAATAACACTACCCTGATTAGTTCACAAGGCATATTGAATGCAATTTTGGAGCAGAATGAACTAAAATACACAGTTCAAGACACCATATTACAGATAATATAGGAGAAAGAGCATTGAGGTTTTTGGAGGGACTGAGTAGTAAAACTTTTGTATAATAAGTTACTACCTCTTCTTCTATCTCTGTTTCTCCTAACAATTTTGGTCTACTATCATCTATCCATCTAACTATCATCTATCTATCTATCATCTATCTCTAATATATAACAATTCATCCCATTGTAGTAATATATAACATAATATTTGCTGTTTTTAACCTTTTTAAGTATACCAAACACAATTCCAGTGGCATCTGCTTCATCCACAATTCAAATTCAAATTCAAATTCTCAATATCCATTTCCAGAATGCCATCATTTCAAATTCCACAACCACTAAACACCAAAATCTCCAGCCTTTCCTTCCCATAATCTCTGTCTCTCTTTTTGTCTCTCAACTTCCGTATTCTAGCTGCCTTGGTGGAAGCATACAGTGTTTGTCTTTTTTATGTCTCACTTCACTTCGTATAGATAGACATCATCAAGGTTCACACAAGCATATTTCAGAATCTCTTTCCTTTCTAAGGTGTGCTAACTCATTGCGTGTTTATTCATTCATCAATGGGCATTGGGTTGCTTCATGTTTTGGCCACTGTCAATACATCAGTGCTCAAAAATCTGCTTGAGTTTGCACTTTCAATCTCTTTTGGGTCTGTCTCCGGAAGAGGAATTGCAGGATCCTGTGTAAATTTGTTTGACTTTTGGAGGCATCACCACAGCCTCAGCACCCTAACTTACAGCTGAGAAAATCGGGCTCAAACAGGTGAAGCTCCCAGCCTGGGTCACACAGCTAACCTGTGAGGAGAGGTACTGTAGGCAATGCTTTCCCTAAA